CATTTGAAATCCCTCTGATTTGTAAAGGTTTATGCATTTCTACCCTCATTAAGCAATCCATGTTCTGAGAGTAATTTGAGTACAAAGCAAGATGCACTTTGCCTAATGTACCGGGCTTCACAATTTGTTGTGAAAGAAGTATACAAAGACAGAAACAAATAAACCAAAGCAAAAGAAAGCAAGCAAAAAATTAAATCCCTTCGAAAGGTTTTGAATGAGCAATTTTTTTTTTTTGTCCCTGGATTTGGGATCATTCAATCTGTGCCAATGCATAGAAGTCTCAAATATATTTTTATTAGTAAAACCTGTCTTCTGTGGCCATCCAGTGTTTTCATGGGGAACTTTTTCTAGCACTGTTTTTGTGACCTTGAAGTTTATAGAGGTTTATTTTTCTTACCCCTTTGTATCCAGAAGCTGGGAAGTTGAGAATGGATTGGCTGATTAGAACAACAGACCTCAACATGGGATAGCCATGAATTTGCCTGAAGGGGGAGAAACATGGCTAGGGGACAGTGATTATTACCAGACTCCCAATGTCAGCAAACACTTTAAGGGTGTGGCAGAGAGAGAATAAGACACACAAGGCTTAATGGTTTCTGCTCTGAGGGTCTTTAGGCAGCTGGGATGGAATTATTTGCTGAACGCACAGTCATTATTTTGTTTGTGTGTTGTTGTGTTTGTTTTTTTGTTTTGTTTTGTTTTTTGTTACTTGTCCAACTGGATTGATTGAAGCCTGTTAACACTCTTATTTTGTAAAACAAAAAATAGCTATCAGCCACTCACCAGTCCATGGAAGAAGACAAAGGCTTGTGGTTTGGTTAGGAGCTGTTTGTGGAGATCCAGTCAGCAGACTGGGGATGACAGTGAGTGCTATGACTAGCCAAGGTCAGAGGAGCGTGGCTGGCCACTTAGACCCCTCACAGGTGGGATTCGAACTCTGAGATGGAGTCGAGTATGCATGCTGTTTATTAGGGAGGGCCCTGCATCCATCCCAGTGGGAGGAAGGACACAGGATTGGGCAAAAGGAGAAGGTGAGCTGTGACATGGGCCTGATGGCAGCCTGGGCCAGGCCCTCGGGGCCTCGAGCTAAAATGGCCCACCAACTTAGTCTCATATTAGATGAAAGAGCCTCCTCTTTATACTTACTAGTCACCGGATATGGGCTGCCCTTGGAGGGGTGAGACCTCGGGAAGGTGACAGTGCAGCCGTGGGAATCCCTGACGGGCTGAAGGCTGAAGGCTAACGGCTGCCTCTCCACAGAACTGCCTGCAGCTGAGACAGGTCTTCTGTCCTCCCTTCTTCCCCTGCAAGTTCTGTTATAACACGGGGTCCAAGCCAGTTCCCGGAAGCCTGCCTGGACAAAGAGCTTCGCCCTTTCCTTTTCCCTTTCCCTGTTCCCCACAAAATAAAGTCCTAGGTAACTCACTACCCAAAATTACTTACCCTCGGGGCAACACCATCACCTCTAACAAAAACATAGATCTAACGCTAGTTCAGCTAGTTCTGTGAGGCAGGCTGTTGCCTCAAGCAGGGATTATAAGGCTGTGTATACGGCAGCCCTGACCTCTTCACCAAGCAGAAGACAGAAATCTTGCCTGTCAGAGAGGCTGTCCAGAGAAATCCTGACCTGGACCAGGAGGAAAAAGAGGCGAACTAGCTGACTCCTGAGACTCCCTCCCATTTTGGATGCATATAAATAATTCTAAAATGTATGTGCAAATCATACTGAGAGGTGGGCCAGGGAGGTTGTTTGTATTCCAGTCAGGGGATCGAAAACACTGGTGGGTTTTTTTTTTCTTTCTTTCTTTCTTTCTTTCTTTCTTTCTTTCTTTCTTTCTTTCTTTCTTTTTTTTTTTTTTCTTTTCCAAGTGAAGTTTGTAGATTTTATGTAAGATCACACACAGTAAAAATCTGACATTTCTGCTTTGTGAGTCCGGGCTAAAGCTGAGATTTGATTGTGAAGTATGAAAGTAAACTGTAACCAGCTCCATTTAAGTACCTGGGACCTATGTTTATATAGAACTTTTAAAGTGCTCCCGGCTTCTCACTCCGGAGAAAGAAGAAATTACAGCAATCTCACCGAGGGCCGGACGTCAAGAGAGGCAGCTCTTCTAGGTTAATGGGAAACTGACACTCCTGCCCCGGCTTCGGAGTGGTGTCCACCCCTTCCAACCACTGTGAACCCTCACACCCGGGGCCTCACGATTAAATAAAGTGCTCTGTGCCCCAGCTCAGTTGCAAATCACTTTCAAAGATATTTCTTCGCAGTCTTTTTAAGAGCACCATTTGTTTTTAAACATTGCCCTTGCACAGTCCAAAGCTACTACTTCTTAATGTTATTATTGCTCCTGGCAAACCCATTTCAATTCTCTGAAAACATCTTTGCAGTGTTTTTCTATTTGCACTGTTTCCACTCAAGCGGGCGGGCATGTGTCTGGCTTTCCCTGCACCCCTCCACTCCTACCCACCCCGAGCCCCAAGGGGACAGATGTAGAAATGAATCAGCACATGGTGTCAGCATTGGAAGGCTTCTTGGATTTCATCTAATAGAATTTAAACCTTGCACTCTCTTATTAAGGATGCCGAAATTGAGTTATGAATGGGAGGGTGGGGGAAGGGTGTCAAAGAGCAACTTAGAGCAAAATTAAGCTAGGACACGAGCACCCTCAAGTTATAATAGACTCTCTTATTTGGTTTCCTCAGAAGCAGTACATAAAACCAGATGCCAGTTTGCAGTTTATTTGGAAGGGGATCGAGGACACAATGCAGAAGAGAGGGGTATGAGACAGGGAAGAGAGGCCACTATTTGGATGTGGTCATGAGCAGGCTAACTGGGCAGTTAGGGCTCCGACCCCCGAGAACTTCTGGACATGGCTTAGATCAAGCCTCTGAGTTGTACCTCTTGATGGGCTGGGACTGGCAGTGTTCATCAACCGACTCCCTCCTGTTGGCCACTGTTGGAGGGCTGCACCCAGGCTCTGAATTCCCAGCGTTTCCAGACTGTTCTCTACAGGCAGCCAGGTTTGTCTCCAGCCAGAAAAAGCCCTCAGGGGAGAGTTGCAAGGGCTTTAGCAGGAAGTTGCCAACACAGGATTGATGAGTGCCCGGGGACATAAGTGGGGCTGCCACAGCCGCTGCTACAGTGGTCAATGCCCATTCTTTCCTGCCCTGGGTGGTAAAGCTCACCGTCTTAGAGATGAGGGGCATGATGTATATGAGAACAGTGAATGGATAGGGTAGGTATTTGCAAATGAGTAAATATCCCTATTTTGTGGGAACCCTGCATGCACTTTTGCACGCCCTGTCCTTCTACCTTGTATGACTCCTCCTAGAAAACTCCTAGTCATCCTCCAAAGTCCAGTTCCAATCTGACCTTTCCTGATTCCCCAGGAAAAACCAGTGCCCCTCCCCTTTGCTCTGACAGCATGCTGTGCTCGCTCTAAAATATCACATCTATGCGTGTCGGGCCTCCTGCTACTTACTAACGGTAATAACAGCTGCTGTTCATTGAGCACTTTAATTATTTGCCAGGTGCTTTTTAAAGAACTTTCTGTGAATTAAGTTATTTGAGTCTCTCAACTCTATGAAGCTAACTGCAATTGCAGAGAGAGAGGCTAAGCTACTTTGCCAATATGATATAGTTAGCAAGTGGCAGAGCTAAGATTTAGGTCCAGAAGTCTAGGTTTCCAAGTCCCTGCTCTTAACCATGGCAGAGAACAGGCTGCCTTTGACTGGGATAAAGCAGGGAGCCCAGGGACTGAACCCTGGGCATCTTGCTAGCAAGGCCTCAGGCCTAAGTGAGGAAACGTCACTTATGGGGAACCTGGAACAGGAACATGACACAAGCTGTGTTTTCACAAAGATCACTCTCACTACCGGGCATCTGGTGACTTGGAAGATAAGAGATTGAGAACAGAGATAACAGTTAAGAGATTAGTGAGGCAATCAAGGGAAGAGGCGAGGAAATCCCAAATTTAGCAGGGAACCTTGTCCCCAAGCGAGCCCCTGCTGACCTCCCAGCCACAGCCACTCCCAGCACGGCAGGGCTGCCACTCTTGGGTGTGCAGGTGGGGCCCTGCACAGATGCACCTGGGCAAGAGGTCATGGAGGGGCAGGCATGCAGCCCAAGCTCTGGATGCCTCCTGTGAACCCCTGGTGAGGAGTCACGTGCACCCAGAAGGAAGGGCACCATTGCTCTCGCACACAGAGAGGACAGATGGCCCAGCCATGGCCCAGCCCAGGGACCCTCCAATCCAGACATTTTCTATACTTTTTGCTTCCTGTCTGTGGCATGATTTTCCCTCAGATCCTCAAGGCCATGGAGATGAGCACATGTTTGGAGGTGAGAGCGGGAAGAGGCAGATTGGAGTAGTTAGTGCCAAGGAGAGTTCCTTACCCCAGGCGCCCTGCCCCAAGCACCACCTGTCATCATGCTTACACCCCACCCGGCTCTCACTCCTGCGGGCCTGACGCCACCACAGTGGAAGTGGATGGTCTTTCTGTTCTGAGTACATGCCTGCCATGGGGAATAGCTGATGGGGATTGGGAACCAGTGATGTAAGGGAAGGAGAAGGGGGGAAAGGAAGGGATATGGGTGAGCAAAGATGCACGTGAATTTCAGCAACTTGCTCGCTATTTCTTTTCTCGTATCCTCCCATTTCTCACCTCAAGACACATGTTGAGTAAATGCCTCTGAGAAGACTCACCAAGAAGGCGACACAGCGTTTTGGAGGTAAGACTTTAAGGCAATGCAATGGTGAGAGAGCTGGAGCCAGGAGACCAGGAGGATCCTGTTGTGTGGCTCTGGGCAGGCCCAGCCCTCTCTCTGGGCCTCCATGTCACCGCCAGCCATGCACAGAGGTTGGGTCAGGGGCTCTCCAGGAGTCCTGCAGTCTCAGCCTGGGTAGTCTGCAGTCTGGACAGCAAGATGGGCGGCGGGCCTGTCTGTGACCGGCCAGGCTGGGCTGTTTCATGTCTCGGGTGAAGCCAGGTCCGAGAAGTCAGGCAAAGTAGCCCCAGAGGAAGACATTGATGGCCAGCAGGAGGACAGCATTGATGTCGCAGACGCGTCTCCAGAGCGGCTCCTCCTCAATGCTGGTCAGCTTCAGCTCTAGCGCGGCCTTCTCTGCGGGGCTCAGGGCCGGCTGCGGGGCCCCGGAGAGCCCACAGAACCAGCCCCAGAGCAGCTTTCCCCAGGACCTGCGAGGGGCTGAGGGGCCAAGGTCAGAGGGGGAGGGAAGCAGGAGGGAGCGGCAAGGCCAGGTCGAAAAGGAGAGTGATGAGAGAGCAGGGAAGAGAAAGAGGGGAGAAACAAACAGACAAAAAAGGGTGAGGTGCACAGAAAGGGGAGCCATGGGACAATCACCTTAGTCCTTTCTACTAGCCACAACCTGGTGCTGAGCTGGGACTTCACTGAGCTCTGTTTTTAAAAATAGTTGATAAATTGGTCAAGAAGTTTGGATCTTAAAAATAAAAAAAGCAGCCCTAACTGTTTTGGCTCAGTGGATAGAGCGTCGGCCTGAGAACTGAAGGGTCCCAGGTTTGATTCCCGTCAAGGGCATGTACCTTGGTTGCGGGCACATGCCCAGTAGGGGGTATGCAAGAGGTACTGATCGATGTTTCTCTCTCATTGAGGTTTCTAATTTTCTATTCTTCTCCCTTCCTCTGAAAAAATCAATAAAATATATTTTTTTAAAAAGAAAATACAAAAAGCAGTTTTGATCTTAGAAGTCAGGAGAACTCATATCCTGGAGCTTATGATGTCATAACCTCTAGGCAAGTGGCTGTTTCTGTAGAGTCAGGGTCCTAAGCAAAGCTGAAGGGTGGAGGCTTCTCAGGCCTCAGGGAAGCTCAGCAAAGACCTGGGAGCCAAGTGGCGTAGCTGCCAGCTGTGTGGGGCCAACAACCGGGGCTTGGATAACGCTATCTATGCTTTAAACTTGCTGGAATTATTAAAAGTTTGTCACATCGGCAGCTGGGGATGGGATGAAGATGCTTTTTGAAGCCCCGATGGAGCTCTTGCCTACCCTGATGGGCGAGGGCAGCCTCTGAAGGCACCCCAACCCCAGCCAGCACTGGGCTCCTCTATCTGAGGCAGGAGGTACATTGAGGAATTAAACTTCATTAACATTTTAACTCATCAGGGAAAGAGAAATTGACTTGGGGCTTTAAATTGCAAACTAATTTACCACTTCTGGCATTAGTTTTTCTGTGGGAATTTTACACTTTGGGAAATCTCTCTGGTGTCACTAAATCAGAATACCTTAACATTGGTATTCAAGAGCACTGCAGGAAGGTCATAGTCACATTGCATCTAAACCAGCTGCAGTATGTCCTATGTCAACTTCTAATTTAGACACTGTGTGGTCTTAGAGTACACTGAATTCATGTATATCCTAACACTTTTAGGAACAGACTGTCGAACCTCAGAGGGAAGGCAGGGGTGGATAGGAAGAGATCAACCAATGAACTTGTATGCATATATGCATAACCCATGTACAAAGACAATGGGGTGATGAGGGCTTGGGGTGGGGGTTAAGAGTAGGCTGGAAGAGGTCAATGAGGGACAAAGGGGACATATGTAATGCTTTCAACAATAAAGATTTAAAAAATTAAAAATTAAAAATAATAGAATCTCCAGGAGGCAGTATTGTGGGCCCATCAGCAGCTCAGGAGGACACAGTACGGACCCATCTGCTCTCCTCCTGTGAAGATGACCAAGGTTTTGTGTGATTCTAGGCAAATTATTAAGCCCAATAGGAATTAAATAATAAAATGTGTGGGGGGGGGGGGAAGAAGGGGACTGTTTCTTTGCCATACCTAAGGCTTTCTTCCAAGTGGATGGAACTCAATTAATATCACGCCCTCTGATTTGATTTTCTGCCCATAGATTCATTCAGCTCAGGAGAGGAGACGGGAACTTCCTGTTGGCAGGCTTGAGGAGGATAACAAGGGCTCACTTGGTTCCCTCCCACCCTCCTCCTGGGCAGTGCAGTGCTCATGGGTAGGTGACTAATGGGCCTTCTGTCTAATGCTGGGGTTCAGTGTCAGGAAGTGCACCTCCCCATGGATAGAAACCAGATCTTCCCACCTGTACTTTATCAGTAATGAGGGCAATACTTTGGCTCCTATCTGCCTTACTTGTCTTATTCTTCACGTTGTTTTATAGCCATGTGGGAAGGGAGGAAAGATAGTGTATGGTGTCTTAGGGCACCTGTGACCGAGGATCTGTCCCCATCACTCCTCTGTGATAGCACCCAGCACACCCTCAGCCTACCTCCGTGCTGCTCTGGGCCCTGGCTGGGGTTCTGGGTCCCTCCGCGTCCTGCAGGGTGCACATCAGGTGGCATTTCCATCTCCGATGTTCCTGGTGTGTCCCCGTGGGCTTCCTTCTCCAGCTCAGGGCGGGGGCGGTTCCGTGTCCACCACGTCAGGCGAGCGAGCTGGAGGGAAGGGAAACGCTGTCTTGACTCAGTTCCCTCTGAAGGGAAGTCACGATGTAAAATTAGAAGGGCCTCCCCTGGAGGAACCTCAGAGCATTGAGTGGTGCCAGGAGCAAGCACAGAGCTGGGAGGCGAAGCTTGGCTATTAGCTTGGCCTCCACTTCCTTTGGAAACCTGCTCTGCCTGAGCCATGCCAGGTATTGAAAACACACCACATCAGGTTCAGGGAGGCAGGCACCTCATGACAAAAGGCTTCCAAGGTCAGGCTAGGAGTTGATTTCTCTTAAAAGCACAATGCAATGGAGAGTCACTGCAGACACAGGGAAGAGACGCAGAGTCCTGGGATTCAGGAAGAATGGAAGGGATCCAGTTAGAGCCTGTTGCAAAAGTGAAGCAAGAAATAAAGCGAGCTGCCCTCCCTCTCCCCTGCCCGGCTCACCTGTGAATGACCCACTTATTTGTAGAAATTAGTGCCACCAGGTTGTAAAAGGTTGTAACCTTTAAGGCACCACACAGGTAAGGGGTGTTAATGCTGATTTCCACTTAATGTTTCAGGGCCCAGCTTCTGGTATGGGCTCTGTTATGGGCTAAATTATGTCCCTCTGCCCAAATGCCGTGTTTAAGTACTTCAGAATGAGACATGCTTGAAGATAGGGTCTTTAAAGAGGTAATTAAGGTTAAGTGAGGTGTTTAGAGTGGCCCCAATGCAATATGACTGGTGTCATTATGAGAAGAGATTATATAATGAGGCACAGGGAAGGCCATTGAAGACAGAGCGGGAGGAGGCCAAGGAGGGAGGCCTCAGAGGAAACGACCCTATAACACCTCCATCTCAGGCTTCTGGCCTCCAGAACTGTGATAAAAGACATTCCTGTTGTGTAAGCCACCCAGACTTGTGTGGTACCTTGTTATGGCAGCTGGAGCTAATGAATGCTCTTTTGCTCAAAAGAAAAAAAAAAAAGATTTCAGAACTGAAGCCTGGGCCTCATGTCCAAGGACAGGTAGTTAAATGGTCAGCATGGGAGAGGGGAGAACTCCCAGTTAAGCTCTTACTCTGGTAGACTCTGTTTCTTTTCTCACATATTATTTCTTGACTCTTCAACCAATCCCTACCCATTCTTCTAGATCCAACTCAAAGTGGCCTTGTCAGGAACTCTCCCAGGGGTGACTGCCTCTCCTCTGTGCTCAGCCTTGAGACTGGTCCTTCTACTTTTCTTCTTGGTAGAGCAACTGTTTATGTGGGTGTCTGTGCCCCCTGTACACCCCGCTGTGGACAGATGCCATGGGGGACCATTCATCATTGTAACTCCACACAGGCTTGGCACATACTAGATGCTCACTGAGTAATTTTTCAATTGAACGAATTACTTTTCAGTTGGGAATGAATAAGCCAATGAGCTCCCTGTCCCTGGGACATCTGTATGGCAACAGGAAAGATCATCACCCAATGGGGTGAAACTCGGCGGTGGGCATGGGGAGGCGTTTGGGGGGAAGGGAGTTGGCATGAGCGCTCCACTTGCCTCTTCCTCGGGGATGGGGGTTGTACAGAGGCTGACGGCGACCATGACGATGGCAGTGAGGCCGCAGAGAAGGAGGGCAAAGTAGAGGTAGTGGAAGTCCTTGAGCACAGCCGGCCTCTGGTCCACCTCCCCACAGGCTGGGGCTGGGTAGGAGAACTCCAGGATCATGCGCAGGAACCCCACCACCAGGCCAAACATGAGGCCCCAGAAGGCTCCCTGTGGAGAGAGGGCAGACCAGGGAGGGGTGAGATCCAGATGGGAGGCCCTAGGAAGATTAAAACTACACTCTCCCCAAATCTCTCCCCAACTGGTTGTCACTGTGTCTGCAAGTCCATAGGTGTGATTTAACACTAAAGCTTTGTCCTGATGTTAAGGCAAACAGAGTGGGGCTTAGGAAATAACACGGGTTCCTGAGTCAGATGGACCGGGATTTGGATCCTGGATCCATTTCAGAATAACGGATGCAGTGATTCAGCTTCTCTGACTCAGAGTTTTCTCATGTGCAACGATAGGAGAAATGAATAAGTACTACATGTAGATGCTTAAACTTCCAGCAGAATGGGATGTGATTTTAGCCGAAACCGGTTTGGCTCAGTGGTAGAGTGTCGGTCTGGGGACTAAGAGGTCCCAGGTTCAATTCTGGTCAGGGGCATGTACATTGGTTGCGGGCACATCCCTGTTGGGGGTGTGTGCAAGAGGCAACTGGTCGATGTTTCTCTCTCATCGACGTTTCTAGCTCTCTATCTCTCTCCCTTCCTCTCTGTAAAAAATCAATAAAATATATTAAAAAAAAGAAAAGAATGGGATGTGATTTTGTAATAAGCAAGGAATAACTTTGTTATTGTAAGTCAGAAATCAGTGTTGCTTCTATTTTTTCCATGTTTTTTGTTATATATATATATATATATATATATATATATATACACACACACACACACACACACACACAAAAGAAAGCTCTGGTATCTCCCATGTCTTCTTTATAACACTATTCAACCCTAACCTCTGCTTCCTTATGTATGAATTGTATTTTTAAAATTGAGAAGTCAATCTGGATTTTAAAAATTCTGCAATGAGCAGAAGCATCCATAGTTCAGTTGAGTTTTGCTGTGCACCACGACTATCAGCAGGGAGATCGGACCTCTGCTAACAGAAGGCATCAGTGGACACCTTCCTTCATAGTCCATGAGGAGAGGCATTCCTATGATCTTCTTGGCCTTGACCTTAGGTTCTCACATGGCTCCTGTGGAGTCCTGTCCATGGCATCCTTTTCTTCCTGACCCCAGATCTGGGGTGTATAGCCAGCAGATCTGGTTTTTTTCCTCAACTGTTCTGGGAAGTAATCAGGGTTATAGTCCTCCTACCTCGAGCCCCTCCCAGGCTTCTGTTAGATTTCAGTGCAGTTTCATGAATAACACATGTGTAACACGCCTGCAAGTTCACACTTCATTTCATCATCATTGCTATATTTTTGCTTACATATGAACCTTATTAATGTTAGGGATGAAACAGAGCCTAGAGATCTTCTAATCTGTCTTGAGCTTCTACACACTGTTCCTCCTGTCTGAAATACTCATCCCCCTCCCATTAATCCCTCATGTCTCAGCTCAGATGTGCTTCCTCCAGGAAAGCTTCCCTGACCTCCTCCAAGGTATCTTATAAGTGAGATCAGTGGTTGGCAAACTGCGGCTCGCAAGCCACATGTGGCTTTTTGGCCCCTAGAGTGTGGCTCTTCCACAAAATACTACGTGCAGGCGCACATGTGCAGTACGATTAAAACTTCCTGGCATATGCGCAGAAGTCTGTTTTTGGCCTGAGCAAGTTTATTTTGAAGAAGTGGCATTAGAGCACTCAAGGGGTCAAAGAGTTGCATGCGGCTCTCGAGCTGCAGTTTGCCAACCACTGGGTTGGTTGTTCCTGTTCTTTACTATCCTAGCAGCCACTATTCTTTCTTCTTATTGTGTATTGAGTTATATTTCCTCCTGTCTGGCCTAGTGATGGCACACCTATATGAACCTTGTAAATATAGCATCCCAACTTTATAAATGTCCCCCCCCCCCCCCCCCCGCACTTTGTACTAGGGTGCTGTTCTCAGAATGTCCACAAGAGGGTATTGGGATTAAAAATGGCACCAGAGTAAGTAGATGCTACACAGACATGCTCCCAGGACCAAATTGTAATTGCAATTAAAATGCAAAAATAAATCCTGAATAATCAACTGAAGACTAGCTGGAGAGAACCAAGGATGGAAAGTGGAGACCAAATAGAAATTATAGAAAGGGCAGTGGTGTGAAAGGGCTGGACTGGCTCCCACAGACAGCAGCTAAAGTTCTGGAGAAATATCTCAGTGGGGGGTTGCCACTGAGAACTCTGGGGTCTAATCCATAAACTGGGTCCCCCATCAGAGAGCACCAGAACTGAGAAAGGTGCCCACAAACACCTGGCTGTGAAAAGCAGCAGGGTTGCTGTCTGCCAGGGAGTGATGGCTGGATATGCAGGGATCCTCTTAAAGGGCCAATGCACAAAATTTCACATGAAGCCACTCTCTTTGTGCTCCAGCAGAGGAAGGACAGAGTGGACTGAAGCTGTGTAAGCAGAAGCCAGGGTTGAGGGCTCTGGGGTTAGAGTTCAGAAGGTAGACACTTCGGTTTCCTGTGCTGAAGCATTCCCTCATGCTGAGAAGGTCATCTTTCTCCGGCAGACCTTTGCTATCCAGGAACTTTTTGCCTGGGGGTAAGGCAGTTGACTCATTCTATTGGAAAACCTCTTGCCCCACAGTGTGGAGTTTCTGGGGCCCATTTAGAGATTGAGATAACAATTAGCCTCCAGGCAGAAGCAATTGTTCCACACTGTTGGAAAACCTCTTTCCACACCTATGGATGATTGCTTGAGGGCTACTCAAGATCAAATGCAATCAGTCTGCAGACAGAGGCGGGTCTTGGAGGCATTGAGTCTTTGCCTGATCTAAGTATTCAGAAACTGTATTTGATATTATCCTGCTCCAGAGATTGAGAGCGGATCTACTTAATACACAGCCACAAACCCAAACAGGCGGTCAAAATGGGGAGACACAAAACAAAACAAAAAAAACAAACATACAAAAAAAAAAACCCACCTCAAATGAAAGAAAATGAGGATTCTCCAAAAGAGGAGCTAAATGAAATGGAGATAAGAAATTCATCTGATATAAAGTTCAGAATAATGATGGTAAAGATGCTCAATAGCATGAGGAAAGATATAGTAACTATGAAAAAAGAATAGTTGGAAATAAAGAATGATATATCACTAATAAAGAATACATTGGAAGGATTACACAGAAGATTAGAGGAAGTTGAGGATCAGTGAATTAGAAGGAATGGTAGAAAAAAAATCACTCAATCAGAGAACCAAAAAGAAAAAATAATGTAAAACCAGGAGAACAGCTTAAGGGAGCTGTGGGACAACACAAAACATAACAATATTCACATAAGAGTTGTACCAAAAGAGGAAAAAAAGGGAGCAAGGGGTAGAAAACTTCCCTAACCTGGTTAAGGAAAAGTCACACAAGTTCAGGAGAAACACAGAGTCCTGAGCAAGAAGAACCCAAATAGGCCCACACTCAGATATATCATAATTAAAATGCCAAACATGCTGAAACCGGTTTGGCCCAGTGGATAGAGCATCAGCCTGTGGACTGAAAGGTTCCAGGTTCGATTCCCGTCAAGGGCATGTACATGGTTGTAGGCACATCCCCCTGCAGGAGGCAGCTGGTCGATGTTTCTCTCTCATGGATGTTTCGAGCTCTCTCTCTCCCTTCCTCTCTGTAAAAAATCAATAAAATATTTTTTAAAAATGCCAAACATGAAAGACAACAAGAATATCTTAAAGGCATCAAAAGAAACACAATTTGTTACCTACAAAGGAGCTCCCATAAGGCTGACAGCTGATTTCTCGTCAGAAACTGTACAGATAGAGGAAATGGCATGAAGTACTCAAGGTAATGGGAAGCAATGATCTGAAATCAAGATTACTCTATCCAGCAAGGCTATCATTCAAAATAGATGGTAAAATAAAGAGCTTCCCAGACAAAAAATAAATAAAAAGGGGGGGAGGGAACTAAAGGAGTTTATCACCACCAAGACAGCATTACAAGAAAAGCTAAAGGGACTGATGTAATAAGAAGAAATAGAGAAACCTCAAGATTGATCAATGTTTATTGAGTGCATGAATGAATATAGACCATATGCTATGGATGGCAGAGGGAAGTTGGTTTGTGCAAGGTCACAGAGAGGCTAGATTATGTGAACTGCTGTACTCACAGGCTCTGTGACCCTCTTGCAGAAGATGGCCAGCAGGAAGAGGGCAGTGACGGGTGGGGCCAGGTAGCTGGTGACAGACTGGATGTAGTCGAAGAGCTGGCCACTGTTGGAGCTTTGGATGATGGGGATCCAGAGGATGCTGATGACGACCAGGAACACCACAAACACTCTGCCAGGAGGGCACGGGGTGCTGTGAGGAGCCCTCGGGGTGGCAGAGTGTGAGGTGGGGTGAAGGTGATGCTTGGAAAGCAGGAGGAGAGATAGGGGTGGGGTGGAATGCATGCTTGTTGAATCAGATAATGTTAGGAGACTAGAATCTCAAAGGATGAGAGTTTAGGAATTTAGACTCTTAAAATCCCAGAATATCGGAATTCTAGAACCTAAGAGATCAAGGCTTTTTAAATAGACCTGCTCTTCAGAGAGGAATCTATACCGTTTAGCCCACCACGCACCTCAGTAAATGACATCTGGATCTTTGCTGGGGGTGCCTTTCCTTCTCTTTTTCACCCAAATCCTGTGCATAGCAGCCCCCTTTTCCTGGTTGACTCCAGTGACTTCTTCCTTCTCTAAGCTTCTCCAACTCTAAGTGTCTCCTCCTTATGCTGCCAGTTAGCTCAGAAAAGAGACTCCACTTTCCTGTCCTGACTTCTCCACAACTGATCCAGGCTCAGGTCCAGGTCCTCAACATGTCCTCCCTGTGTCCCCACACAAAGGCATGTATGATTTTGCAGGCGTGTGGCCAGGTTGATGAAAAACTTTTTTTGGATGTGCTGCGTGCAATAATGTATATGGCCAGCAGATGGTACCAGAACCCCACTGGTTGATGAAAGAAGTCTCTAAAACCTGGCAGTTTAGTGTGAAAATATCAAAGGACACTCTTTTAGAAGTCTCTCAGCACACCAGTCCTTTCCTCTTCTTCCTTCTCATTTTCTCTTCCTCAGGCCCTGACTAAAGCAACAGTTACTCAATGACCTCCCTCCTTCATCCTCTCCTCTGCACCCTCTGTCCTGCATCCAGCGCCTATGAGCAAGCAGGCAGTGGGACTCTATGGGGCAGCTGTGGGCAGAAGGCACTGTGGTGGAAGAAGTAGTGCATAGAAAGGCAGGGAGGTGGGGAAAAAGCAAGTTATATAAACTCAGAGACCATCTACCCAAAGTGGAGAATGAACACATGAGTCTAAGAAACCTGAGTTATTTGTGGAGCCTTAAGTTATGAAGCAACGATTTCAGAAAGGGCCCCTTAACTCTATGTAAACTACAAGTTCCCAGCCTGGAGTGAAAAAGAAAAATTAGCCACCATTGTGCTTGGAAAAGCATGAAGCTGATCCCAACAAGGTAAATGCAAACTCTTTAACCTGGTATTTGAGGCTCTGCCTTCTTTGGAGACAAACTTCGTACAAATGTCTTCACTGATGCAGGTCCCTCACATTGCCTGCATTGCCCCTGTTTGGGCCTTTCTCCTTAAACTCTTCCACCCTGAAGGGCAGGGCCATACAAGTGTCCCCACACAAAGGCATGACCCAAGGGGGACGCTCTGGGTGAGACTGGTGGAGTAAGTGAAAGCCTTTCTGATATCCTGGGGTAGCAGCTGGTCTGAAAGACCTGGAGGGCGAGCTGCTTGCTAGCTGCCTCCCATTTATGCAGTTATACGTTTAACTCTGTCAGCTTCTCTCATTGACCCCACGGACCAATTGCAAGAGAAAGCTGAACAAGCAGGGAAAAGAGTTTTTTTTTTTTTTTTTCTCCCTATTCTGGACAGGGAGGAGGGGCCCAGAGAAGGGTAGGAAGTACCTGAGGTCATGGAGGAAGCTGGTGCTAGAACTAGGTGCTCTGACTGCCAGTCCAGGGCCCAACCCAGCCACCCCTCCCAGGGCAACCCAGGCAGGGAGCAGAGGGGAGGGGGTCTGCCTGCCGGAAGGGGCGCCCGAGGCCGGGCCAGCGCACCTGCCCACCACCATCAGCTCCTGCTCCGTTGCCTTCTTGCGGAAGCGCTGCCACACGTCAATGGCGAACAGCGTGCTGCTGCTGTTGAAGATGGAGGTGAGCGAGCTCATGAGGGCGGCCATGATCACGGCGATCATCAGGCCCCGCAGACCTGGGGAGAGATGAGGTCTCTGTGGACAATCGGCCATGAAGGCCCTGCCGGCACCGTGGAAGCTGCAGCGCCTGCAGAGCCAGGAGTCTGGGGTGGGAATGGGATGGGGAAGGTGCTGGCTGAGGTTCCCACCCAGCAGATAAGGAATCCAGGGCTGGGCACTGGGCTCCTGCTACGCCCTGCTGCCTGCTCTGTGGCTTTGGGGGAGCCATGGCCCTCTCTGAATCTCCCCAGGAAGGGGTGTGACAGCCCTGGCATCTCCTGTGGGTGTCAGAGCTGGCCGACACTTGCTTGTGGTCGCTGGTGGGGAGGAGGTGACTGTTACTAAATGTTTTCAGCGTTTTCCTTTTTCATTGAATTGATGCCCTGGCCTGGGAAGCAGAAGCACAGGCTTGTTTCCTGGTTCTGCAGGCAACCAGCTGCGTGACCTTTGAACTGAGTCCTTCATGTTAGGGCCAGTTTTTCCTCCTGCAGCAAGAGGTCTGCTCCACTGATCCCCGAAATCTCTGCATCTCATGACCAAGCCTCACCCAGGGAGGGATCCCCCACCTGAGCTCACCTCCAGCCTCTATTGCCCTCAGTTCAAATCTTTAGCCACAGCCTGCATGTGTCCCTGGAAGACAAAGGTGTCCCACACCAAGGCCAGCAACTGCCTCTGGGGCCTCTGGTTCTTCCTTTTATTAATAATGTCTTTCTTGCCGAAACCGGTTTGGCTCAATGGATAGAGCATCGGCCTGTGACTGAGAGGTCCCAGGTTCTATTCCAGTCAAAGGCATGGGGACTGAGGGGTCCCGGGTTCGATACCGATCAAGGGCATGTACATTGGTTGCGGGCACATCCCCAGTGCGGGGTGTGCAGGAGACAGCTGGTCGATGTTTCTCTCTCATCGATGTTTCTAGCTCTCTATCCCTCTCCCTTCCTCACTTTAAAAAATCAATAAAATATATATATTTTAAAAATAATAATAATGTCTTTCTAGCCTCCACACCAGACACCTCAGAGATATCCCAGGCCCCTCCTGGGCTCCCCTCTCACCCACCTCCCTCTGCGGCTGCTCTGTCATCACTGGGCCTTCCCCCTTTCTCTTCTATTTCTTTGATTCATTTCTTATTCTACTGGTGATGGGGGGTGGGGGGTAACTCACCTCACCTACTTCCCTTCATAAATCTGCCTTTCTCCCATGTACCCTTTGGTCCCTCAAATACAATCAGTCATCAATCAAGTTCTGCCAATTCTGCCTCCTGTTTATCTTTTAAACCTCTTTTCTCCATCTCTAAAGACACCAACCTGGTCCTTGCCACCATAACCCCTCACCAGACCACTGAAGGACCTTGTGAATCATCCCCCTGCTGCCCTAAGCTGAACCCCAGGCAGAGTGGTCCCTCAGAGCACAAATGCGATGGTGGATGCTGGCCTAACCCATGCCCCCTGTCCCCTGACCGCCATTGCTTTAGGTGCGGCCACCACCTCTTCTCCACGATGCTTGTCTCCAGTCCTCCTGCCTCTGAGCCCATAGGGGCCACCTTCAGCCCAGACTTCATGCTCTCTCTCAGCCTCAGGCCTTTGCCCATGCAGCCCCTCCTTCTGGATGATGTCTGCCTCGCCCTCCAGCTGTGTCTGCCTGAGGTGCTTCTCAGACCTCAGTTCCATGTCCTCTCCTCTGAGAAACCTGTCCCTCAGTCCCCCAAAGTGATCCAGGTGCTCCTGAGGGCTCCCCCAGCCCCACCGTGTCCCCACACTGCTCACACTGTATTGTGGCCTCTGACACCCTGAGTACGCTGGAGACTGTGTGGAGCCAGAGAGCAGGGTTCCGCCCTTTATCCTGCATCTCAGGGACCAGGACACAGAGCAGTGCCTCATGGATGCCTATGTGCATGCATGAGTGTGTGTGTATATACTGGGAGGGGATGGGGATGGGGATCCTCTCCCTGCCCATGTCCATGCTTACTGCAACCCCTCCTGAGCAGTGGGGATTGGAGGCAGCTGGAGGAGGGAGTGACTGGTGGCTGGAGGAAGCAGGACTCACCAATGGGCATGAGAGCTATGACCAGCTTGGGGTAGGCTATGTTGGAGCATCCCACTCGGGCCCCGCAGACTCTTTGGCAGACGTCAGGGTCCACGCAGCCCACCTCATCTGCAGAAGAGGTGATGGCAGGGCAGTTAGAGACAAATGATCTAGGGCCTTCTCAGGACAGCCCCATACTTGCCTTCTGACCCCACCGGGAAGGGTCCACTGGGGACTGTGTTGGGCCTGAGGTGGCTGATTGGGTACCAGGATTTACTATGGAACATTTCTCTGCCATATACTGCCCACAAAGCTGGTAGACTCATTAGCTTTAGGCCTTCTATCCTGATAAAAGGCAACTATCCTTGGAAGGCACCAAGAATGCTTTACTGGTCTTTCCCTTATAAAAGCAAGGCAGGGTTAAAAATGACATTTGGATGCAAATTTTCTACTTCGTAGTTTGGAACACAAAGGTTAACCTATTACTATATTAAGGTGACCAGACGTCCCGCTTTTTAACAATTAGTCCCACATCCCGCAGCGTTTTAAAAAGGTCAGAACAGAAAGAATCTTTCCAAAAATCGGGACATTTTTTTTTAAACACCTTGGGACACGGGACAAATTGTTAAAAAATCGGGACTGTCCTGCCAAAAGCGGGATGTCCGATCACCTTATACTATATGTTCTTTTTGTTTGTTTTCATCCATCTATCAGTTGCCTTCTGTATGTGGCCCAATAGGGGCTCGAACCCACAAACCAGGTATATGTTCTGCCCGGGAATCCAATCGGCAACCTTTTGGTGCACAGGACAATGCTCAACCAACTGAGCCACCCTGGCCGGGCAGGACTCCGTATTCTTATTAAGGGCTGTGCAGCCCCTGCCTGCCCCAGCTCTCACCTGGGTACAGGGCCCGGCTGATCATGCCAGGCATGACGATGAAGAACATGGGCAGGATCTTCAGGTAGCCGCCCAGCACGGAGCCCCCCTTGGCATGGGACAGACTCTTGGCGGAGAGAGACCGCTGCACGATGACCTGAAAGGCACAGCGGAGGCCACAGGTGGGCTCTGTCGTGGTCACTGCCTGTGCCCCTGCCGTGGTCCCAGAACAAGTCCCAACCCTCTGCATCCAAACGCCCAGTTTCCCGCAGGGAGCCATCCCCATTCCAGTGGGCGGGGTCTGAGGCTGGGGCATCACCTGGTCCGTGCACCAGCACCAGGTGGCCAGCACCGTGAGCCCGAAAATAAGGCCTGGCCACGGGATGTCCCCGCTCACAGGGTCCCGGAGCATGTGGAAGGCGTCAGGTCGGGGGAGGTGGCAGCTGGTGTTGGGGACCGTGGCATTGGGGATGGCCAGCCTGTACCGCTGCTCCAGGCCCGGGTACCAGCCCACCTCCTTAAAGCCTGTGGGGGGAGACCTCAGTAAGTGAAGCGGCCCTGAGCCCCAAGAGACTGTCACAGGCCCCCCAGCTCCCAGTCCAGTGTGGAGTCCCTGGGCTTGGAACTGGCACGAGACGTGGAAATGTGGGAGGGCTGTGGGGTGCCGCTGGTTTGGCTCTGAGGGGGGTGTGGCTCTGTGCCCCAAGAAGTCCTGATCAAACCACGGAGGTGACAGGAGCCACACTGGCTGAGGGAGGGAAATAGAGGCAAGGTGGGGTGTAATCAGTTCTCCTCCTTACCCAGGAACATGAGGACCAGGGCTCCCCCCACCATGATGACCGTCTGCAGGGCGTCTGTGTAGATCACGGCCGTGAGGCCCCCTGGGGACCCAAGAAGAGGGCTCATTAGTCAGCACCAAGGTGTCCTCTCTGTGCTGGCCCTGAGCGTGCCACGCTGGGGAGGCCAGAGAGGACAGGGTGCCCTCCCAGCAGGTGGGCTTCCTTCGCTCCATCTGCCTGGTGGAGGCCAGTCAGTCACCGGTGCTTGGGCCCAGCTCTTCCCACCAACAGCCTCTGCCCGAGCTGCCTGGCCAGAGCCTGTTTAATACCCCGAGTCTATCCCTCTGTGAGCTGGTAGCTCTGCCAGGATGCCCTCCTCCATTTGGACGCCCACTTAAATTCCCTTCTGTCCAGGCCCACTTGGCCCCCCAAGTCCCAGGAGCCAGGCTGGCATTCTGCAGGAGTAGCTTTGTGGCCTCAGTCTGAGCAGCCTACGGTCTGGCCCAAGTGACAGTGCCCTCATCATTGCCCTGCTCCTGGTACAGCAGGTCTCCCAGGATCTCTCAGGGCATCTCCTTCCCTACCTCTGAGGCTGACTCTTGTCTCATGTCCCTGCCCTTGTGTACCCCTTTTTCTGGTCACTATACCTCCCATCATTTCCTATGTGTTCCCCTTTTTCTGGTCACTGTACCTCCCATCATTTCCTATGTGTTTTCCTCTCTGTCTGTCTCTGTCATTGGCTCTTTCTGTTTCTGGTCCTCTGGCCCTCCCTCTGACATCTCTCTCCTCCAGCCCTTCTCACTGTGTCTGGGTGGCCTGGGCTTCCCTCTCTGCCTCTCCCCGCTTCTGTCTCCGCTCCAGCCCTAAACCCCGAGGTGACCTTCCCCTGGCCTTACCTGCGATGGTGTAGACAGCCGTCACCACCAGCAAGACCACCGTGGAGAGGTACAGGTTCCAGCCCAAGGCCATCTGGATGAAGAGGGCTCCGGAGAAGATATCAGTCTGCAGAGACACGACAGGGAGGTCACCAGGCCCCAGGGTGTCCCCTTCCCGCTCAGCAGTGCCAGCTGCTGTCAGCCCTCTTCACACCATGAGGGCGAGCCTTCAGCGCCCTGCTGAGCTGGTGGGGTGGGCTGTGCAGGCGCTGAGCGGCCATGGAGCTGTCAGAGCAGAGGGGGTCCCAGTCCATGACTTTTATGAACCCATCCCAGGGATACAACATGGCAGAGGGCAGCACACATGGATGGGTCACAGGACCCCAACCTCAAGTCAGTCCCAGAGCCATTCTAGGCAATTAATGCTGATACTGAATGAAGGGTCAGGGATAGAAAGATGAAAGAAGGAATGGATGGACTCTAGATTGTGAGGTCTTTGAATGGAGGGACTGTCATTCACTCAACAAACATCATCCATCTCTGACTACCTACCACCGAGGGAGAGCATGCACTGAAGGCACATGGATTCATCCTTCCTTTCTCCCATCCTTCCTTCCTTCCTTCCATCCATCAATCCATCCATCTATTCACCCAGCAATAAGCCGTGCCCTGTACTCAGCATTTTCGGAGACAGGGTGGCCACACTGCAGTGTACTCACTGAAATCTTGGTGAAGATGTAGAGGATGAGGGACAGCACAGACATGTACACCTGGATCCTCTGGCCCCCAAATCGCTTCTTCAGGTACTGCGGCATTGTGACCACACCGGCTGCGATGTACACAGGGACGAAGACCCAGCCGAGGGCCAGCAGCAGCCAGGTTGCCTGGGAGAGTGGAGAGAAGTTGGAGTTCATGTCCTGGATGCAAATGGATGGGTGTCCCCTCAGAGAGGCAATGCCATGTGGAGGCCAGCCCTGAGCAGGAGGTAAGGTACCCGGGGCCTGATCTCAGTCCCGTGTGACTGCCAACGGTCCCTCTATCTCCTCCGGGTCTTGGTTTCTCTATCCATAGGATGGGTTCTCCCCAAGCACATCTGAGGGTCCTCTCAGGGCTAATGCCAGGGGTGGGATGGGGTACAGACCCTCACTATCCCTGAAAAGCCTCCAGGCCAGCTTCCTTACGTTCCATTCGAAGCCGCCCACAGCCAGGCCTCCGGCAGCACCCGTCCCAGCCAGGCCAATGAACAGGCCGCTGCCCACATTGCTGGACATCAGAGATGCTCCGATCTGCAAGGCACAAGCGGGTCAAGAATCAGAGGGCAGTTTTCAACCGACTCAACCTGGAGTCTACTGTGAGCTTCAGGAGCTGGGTTGTGGCTGGGAGAGGGGACCTGGACTCAGGGAATCTGAGATCAGAAGGAAGAGAGAAAATGGGGTAGCAAAGAGAAAGAGGGTGCCTGCTGTATTGCAGATACCGTGCTAGGCACTGTATGTATGTTATGTGTGCCAATACACTTGATTCCACAAAGAGTTGGAGGGATGAGTATCAATCTTTCCAAAGAAAGGAAGTAATGTTTGAAAAAACAGACAGTGGCTCCAGGCCACCCAGTGAGAGTAGCTAAGTGGGAAAGAAGAAAGCCACGGGGAGCAAGTCCACGCAGGGAGAATGAAACATTGACTCAGGCCATGGATTTAAGGGCCCCCAGTAAGACGGAAGGGGAAACGGAGAAGAGAGGATAAACGGTCAGCTGATAGGGAGCCTGGGTCATAAGGGTGTCAGGATCGGCTACTGGGGGATTTCCGTCTATGATTTCCCTCATTTTACTGCTTTTTAGTAATAAGCTGATGTGTCACCTTCTCAAGAAAGTCTTTGCTGGCCCCACTCCCACTGTCTGGAGGTCGCAGGCTTCCTGTGAGCCCTCTCGAGCCCCCCACTCTGCCCCCCATCCCTCCAGCTCAGCAGTTATGCTGTCTGTGATTCTGTCTGCCCAGTGCCACCCAGCTTTCTAGGACAACATTGTGGACCATCATCCTGTAGGCCCACCCTGCGGCCATGAGAGGGCGCCAGTGGATGCTTGTCAGTGGGAGGTGTCCAGAACAAGATGACTCAGGTGTCAGATGCATTTGGACAGGAGAGAAGGAGCCCAGAGCCAGGAAACCCACCTGGGGCTGTTTCCTGGGTCCAGGTGGGAGATGTAAAGGGGACTTGGATGTGGGAGAAGGGGAGAGAAGAAGGTCAACTCACTGGCCACCATGTCATGGACCGCCCCGCCAGGAAGTAGCCACCAATGGTGCCTCGGCTTGCTCGAATGGATGACTGGAAAGGAAATGGCCAGAGGTGAGGGTTTCCCTAGATTCTCCAGCCTCTGCCCTCACCCAAATTCCCGTCCTTGGCCCAGGCTCTGTGGATGCAGAGGGGGGGACTGAGGCAGCGTTTTCATCATCTTTATTCTACGTGCCCTTGAGGTGGCCTGGGCCTCTCTCTGAGCCTCCGTGCATGTCTCCCAGAACCAGAACCAGAATCAGTGTGGAGAACAAGGAGCCAGTGGAGGGTACGCAGCCCCCGCCATGGCACAGAGCTGCAGGAGCATACAGCTGATTGCTATTGTGCACTGTGGTCCCCTCCATCATCCGAGCTGTGCTTCAGAAATTGAACTGGTGCTTCCGTCTCAGGCGTCCATAGCTACAGGGAGACAGACCTGTCCCCTCCTTCCAACAGGACTTCTCACCGGGGAGGATAAGTGCAAAGCTGTTATTAAGATGCCGCCAGGCCTCTGACTGGATCTGGAGGGAGAAGCACTGGGGGAGAGGCAGAAAAAGGCAGGAAAAGGGAGGAAATGTAACTGATCTGTCACAGGGCAGCGATGGGCTGTGCAGGGCTGGGGATTGTCCTACCCTTCCTTAGACGTTCCAGTGTCACCTCTGGTCCTCAGGTGGCCAGATGAGCAGACAAATTAATTTCACACATCAACCACGAGGCCCAAGTCAGGGAGGGACCTGCCCAGCCTCCAAGGAGCGGTGCTTCTCCCTGCTGACCCCTCCCAGAGCCAGGGGTCATCTGTGTGGCCTGTCCTTCCTCCCACCAGTGCTGTTCACCACTTTGCAGATGAGGAAACCAAGGCCCAGAGAGGGATCCTCGCTGCCGCAGCCTTGTCAGTAACCACTGAAGCTCCAGGCACCGTCGGCCTCGCAGCAGAGTCTAAAGGTGCTGGCATTTCTCTCAAGTGCTTCCGTGATGACAGCAGCCCTTTATGGCTGCCCTGTGTGCCGGGCACTGAGCCAGATGTCATGGAAGGGTCCTGCCTGCTCTGTGCTGTGGTCCTTATTCTCCTTGTCCAACTGAGAAACTGAGGCTCGGAGAAGCCTTGGATGTTCCCAGGGCATGCGGGGATGCTGGAGTGGGATGTGAGCTCAGGGCTCGCTGACCTCAGAGGCGGCCTCCCTGTGGCACTGAGGTTTAGGGGAACAACAGGCCACAGAAGGACCGTGGGGTCCGCCTGGCTCGCTCCCCGTGCACACAGGAGCCCGGCTCCTTTAGAAAGCACTGCTCCCTGCCAAAGCATTAACTAGTGGAGGGTGGGGCAGGCCAGGAGTCAAGCTTCTGAGCTTCCGGGGAGCTGGGAATCTCAGCTCAGCGAAGGGGGAAGGAATAAGGATCAGGGTGGCCAGGGGAGGGTGGGGCAAAGGCAGCAGGTGCAGGGAGATGGTGGTCAGGAGAAGGGCTCAGGCCTGGCCTGCCGCTGGCTCCCTGTGTGACCCCAGGCAAGTCACACCCCTCTCTGGCTTCAGGCTGCCTGCCTCTGAAAGGGGATTGATGAAACCCTTCCGCCAACCCTGTGCTTCCCTGGCCCTCCTTCCCCTGCCCACCCCTGCTCCCAGCCAGAGATGAGTGTGTGGCTCTGCCTCTCCTGCCGGCTCCCAACCTCCACAGCTACTCACCCAGATTCCCACGCCCACAACGAAGATGAAGTAGACGACCAGGACTCCGATGTCATAGGCGTGCAGGCCGGCCGGTGCTGAGCTCCGAGCTGCCGCAGTCCTGACCCCACTTCCTGAAGCTCCGGGCCCCGGCGCTGCCAGCTCCATGCTCCTCCGTGACAGCCGCTCACCACCCGGCTGGACTTTGAGGCGCTCCTGGCATCATTCCTTTCCTTTAATGATTAAACAGCCCAGTGCCATCGCTGCTGAGAAAGCTCAGCCCCACTGGCAGGTAAATCCTGGCCACCCTTTCCCCTAACAGCCTCCCTCCACCTTTGTGGGCTCTTTCCCTCTCCATCTTTCCCTCCTCCTTCTTCTCCCTTGCCCCTCCTCTCCCTCACCTCCTTCTCTTTCTCCTTCCTCTCTCTCTCTCTCTCTCCTACCTCTCACTCTTCCTGCCCCACTACACACACACACACACACACACACACACACACACACACGCAACATACAAGCATAGACAGGCACACACATACACCCACAGAGAGACACATGTAACAAGGCACATACACTCTCTCTCAACACCACCCCCTCAATGTGGAGAAGAGAAGGAGGAGGAGGAGAAGGAAGTGAGGAAGAGAAAGAGGAGGAGGAGGAAAGGAGCAGCGTCTTGGAACCTTGCAGCTGGGAGGACCTTCAGAAGTCAAGTGTCCTAGCTCTTGCTTGTGTGGAGGGGAAACTGAGGCCCAGGGAGGGGCGGGTCACTCAGGGACGTAGAGGCAGACAGAGCTGGACCTTGATCCAGGTTTCTTGGTCACCTGTATGCAACTTTCCTTCTGCCCAGCGGGAGGAGACCAGAGAGGAAGGAGCCTGCTGTGACCCTTGCAAAGCATTCCCCTCACCTGCCCCTGCTTCCAGCCCATCCAAGGTCACCTTCCCTTCTGTTTCCGTGCAGGACCCTGAAGCCAGGAGTGCGGCCAGAATGCACACCTCGGCCTACGTCCTGCCTACGTCCTGACAAAGGAGCTCTCCCGGAAAGAACACAGAGCACAATGTGCCCTGGCGAGACCATTTGCCCGTGACCCAGGCGGCCGCTTTCCAGTCCCAGCAGCGGGGCTCAATGACCTTCAGGGTGATGGAGGGCCGGTTGCTAAGAGACTCTGAGCTTGTGTCCTTGGTCAGCATGGCCTGCGCCCTCCCCACCTCTCAGTGTCAGTGAGTGACTTCCTCCTATGCTGCGCTCTTTCCCCCCCACACCCCCCACACACACCAAGGAAGGGCCATCCTGGCCCTCAGGGTTCCACTGCCCATGTACAATGTCCCCCAACCCCATTCTTCAGATGCCTGAGGCTGAGCCCAACCACTGCACTTCCCTCCCCTAGGCCAGCAGGTTTGGATCCACAGCAGCCACGAATCTGTCAGCTAACCAGGCAGTTTAGTATCCAGAGCTCAGGAAGTGCCAGGAGTCAGCAGAAAGACATTGACATAGTAGGACTAGATATTGCGACGCCTATGCCCAGAGCCCAAGGCCTTGCTATATCAGCGAGCCCAGGGCCCCCACTTGAGGCCGCCTGTTGTTGCAAACTAGCAACAGTCAGCAGCAGAAAGGGGCTGCCAGAGGCGGGCAGACCTGGAGGGACAGCACGAGAGTGGCTGTGATGGCCAACGGTGTGTAAAAGCATATTAAAACTGGGAACACAGGAAGAATGATGCAAAAGTCAGGCCAAATGGGGCCGGCGGACCTATAAATTAGGCTCCATCAACTCTCAGCAAAGGGCCTTCATGGAAAGCAGCTGAGGATTCAGATGCATTGGCCTTGAGTCACCGAGGAAACATTAGTACGACCACCAGGGACTTCTATTGAGAAGGCACACACTGTGAAATCCAGGCGGCAGCATTTCATTCCACATGGTCAACATTTAGGCAGGTGTTGGCATCCGGCAATGAGTACTCATGTATCCAGGAGCCCCTCTCAGAGAGCTCCTGAGACGGAAGGGTCGATCACGTTGTCATTCCTACCTTGGGTGAGCCCCTGTGGGCCCTGCTCTGTGAGGCAGAGACACTGACATGAACAAGGCCCAGCCCCGTGGGGAGCCAGATGGCACATGGACTGGCACCTTCAGCACGTTCACCCACCCCTGTTTTTAGCTGGGAGCTCAGAGGAGGAGGAGGCAACAGTCCATGTGAGGAGGTTAGGTAGGGCTTAGAGGGAAGGGGGTCCTTTGAGCCAGGCCTTAGAAAAGAGTACAACATATTTGGAAACAGCCCAAGTGCCCATCAGCAGATGAGTGGATAAAAAAGCCGAGGTACGTTTACACCAGGGAATACTATGCAGCTGTAAAAAGGAGAGGTCTCTTACCCTTTGGGACAGCATGGAGGGACCTGAGAGGGCACCATGCTAAGTGAAATAAATCAGTCAGAGAGAGAGAAATATCACATGATCTCACTTATTTGTGGAATCTAATGAACAAAATGAAGTGACCAACAAAATAAGACCCGAAGCATGGAGGTATGGAACAGACTGACATATCTCGATGTGAGGTTGGGGGGACGAAAAGAGATAGTCCATGGACAAGGGCAACAGGGTAATGAAGGCCTGGGGTAGAGGGTGGGAGGAGAGGGGTAAAGGTGACGGGGCGGGATGTGAGCTATCTGTAATACTATCAACAATAAAAAACACATTTTAAAAAAGAGTGTAACAGCAGTGTAATAGGTCCGTAAATGGAAGTTTCTGCCAAGATACAATAACATAAAAATTGAAAAGTGAGCAGCAAATCTGCCCAGGAAGTGCTAAGAGCTAGACTAACAATTATAGAGGCTCTATAAGGAGGATGTGGAAAGTTTTGTAAACATTTATTTGGATAAAATTCGTATGTTTTCCCAATGGGAAAGGGAGAGAGTGTGAGGGCTGGTTGCCCCGGGTAGTTTTTTGAAGAGCTTGGTGAGCATCCCGCTCAGTTGGGGTCACTGAGGATGGGGTGACTCAGCCTGGAGCAGGTAGTGGGACTGACTCTCTGCTTCCAACTGGACTTGGTGCTTTGGGATTGGGCTGCACCTGGGTTGGGCAAAGAATGTGTGGATGTTTTTCCGGGGGGAGGTGTGTGGACTAGATGTGAGCTACATGCATAGAAAAGATGGGGTGAGGTTCTTAGATCCTGTCCTACGGGCTATCCAGTAGGGGCTTGGGCCTCAGCTGGCAGAACCTGGCCCTGAGCTGCTGGATTCCTGGGGACTGTGGAAGAATGGGCGGGGCTTCAGTGCTGGGGCGGGGCTTCAGTGCTGAGGTGTGGCTGGGCTGGGTTGGGCCCGGGCTCCCTTGGATGAGGAGTCCTGACTGGCCCACCTGAGAGCCCACAGGGAAGGTCAGCCCGAGGGTGGGAGACCCACACACCAGAGCCATCTGAGGAGCGGCCTCCTCTAGTAGGCACATTCCTACCCTTGACTTCTCCTTGCTCAGCACCATAAGGCTTGTCCGGGGTCAGCCTGCCCAGGTGAGAGAAAGGAAACAAGCTGACAGCGTCTCCTCCTCCCATGGCAGCCAGCCCACCTGCGGGTGGGAACTATGGGAGGAGAAATTTTAACCATAAATGACGATAGAAGAGTTGAATAATGTATGGCACTGGGATTTATACATTTGGGATCACATCTGAGTTGACCGTTTTCAGACAAAATGAAGCCCTAAGGGTGAGGCTTTGCCCTGGAGGTATGAAACGCTGAGGATGGAGTGGGCCTTGGCCCCCAAGCTAGAGGAATCCTCACAGTGGATCTGAGTTTTCCACACGGAAGGAATTCCCCTCCAACGAGGCACCTGGGCATCTGGCAGCCTCCTCCGGGCTCATGAGCCCATGAAGAATCCTGGGCAGGCTCAGCTCTACCTGTGGCTACTTGCAAGTTCTTCCTGAAAAACCACTCTACCAACCGCCTCTGAGCACCTCCTCTTCCAGAACAATGAAGGGCAGGGCTAACGTTCACCGCCGTGTGCCAGGAGGAGCAGGTAGGTCAGACCCCACATATAATTGCAATCACACTGATTGTGTGATTGGCCTCATTCTTCCCATCCTGTAGGCGAGGAAGCTCGGGCCCATAACTATGGGCCTTTAGGTTTGGAATTCAGGCCCGATTCACACTAAAAGCTGTGCGTCCCACCTACCCTTTTTCCTTAGCCTGATGTCCACGGGAGACAGTGCGCACAGCACATCCTTCTGGAGGTTAGGGTAGAAATGGGCTGTTTTGCTCCTTCCAGTGCGGGCTCTGAGCAGGGCACAGAGCTGGTGGGGCTGTGGTAGGAACCTGTGAGCCCTCTCTCCTGCCGCCCCAGCCCCCAGCCACGGCTCCTTTGCTGGCCATGACTCTAGCTCTCAGCCTACGTCCAGGTGACACTATTTCTATTTTGTTTTGTGTTTTGTTTGTTTTTTTCTACCTGTCTGCCTATGCTTCTCTTGGTTTAAAACGAATGCTCCCATGGTCAAATCACATAGTGAGGAAGGACAGGAGCTCCACATGGACAGGCTGGACGCTCAATGCCAGAGGAAAGGATTATTCCATAGCAGAAGGAGGCTGAGAGAGATGGCAGCAGAGACCTAAGGATGGAGAAAAGAGGGGAAGGAAAAGGAAGAGAGCTGCAGGCTCTTATTACTAAAGCTATGCCTGCCAGACCCATGACCCCTACCTGTGCAGCCTGGCGCCCGGCCTGGGCAAACCTCCTGGGCCCAGTGCTCAGCGACAGGCCCGGCAGCAGCTCCCAGCCTGGTGTGGCGCAGGCCTGGCCTCTGAGGGCTCAAGTGGAGGCTGAGCCCAGCCCTGACCCCTCCTCCAGGGGAGCTGGAGAGAGGCCCCGAGCTCCCACTCCAGCCCTTGGGCCTGGGGTCCTGCGGGACAGTTTCCTTCTTTCACGGGTTCTGTCCTGGGGAAAGGAGAACTCGCTCTGGGCTCAGCGTTCCAGGAACCCCTGGAGGGGTTGGATGAAGACCCAGCTCAGAGTGGGCTGTGGTGGCTGCGGTGGCTGCGGTGGCAGCCCTTGTCCCCAGGGACCTGGGCAAACAGGTTTCTCAAGACAGAGGGGCAGGGCCGACACCAGAAACTTGGCCAATGCCTGCAACTTAGAAGAAGCCTTGGCATCGGGCCGCAGCTCATGCACAGTGTGACTGGCACCCGTGTGCACACACTTG